TAATCTAAATCAATCAATCAATCTTATTAAAGAATTGACTTCATTCTCACCAAGGTTTGGGGTAAGCAACTCATTGGATTTAATTGGTAAGCTTCAGAGTATCAATCTTCCAAACAACTATCTAATTGTATCTTTTGATGTTACAAATTTATTCACTACTGTCCCAAAGACTGAGACCGTGGGCATTGTTGGAGATTTATTGAAATCCAAGAATGTAGACGAAGGGAAAGTCGTTGACATTTTGTCACTTCTCAATCTTTGCCTTTCACAGAACTATTTCTCTTTTAATAACAAATTTTACCAACAACCAGACGGCTGGCTTAGCCATGGGTAGTTGTTTATCTCCGTTCTTGGCGGATGTTTTTATGGATTTTCTTGAAACTAGTTACATTATGAACGGTGACAATGGTGAGATCCTCCATTGGTTCAGGTATGTGGATGATTGTCTTTGTATTCTTGACGGTAATTCTGATCAGCCTGAATTGTTGCTCCAAAAGATTAACACTGCTCATTCAAACATTTCTTTCACTCTCGAGCTAGAAAGCAACAAAAAAATCAATTTCTTAGACATCACAATCTCCAAGAACCCCACAAATGATCTACAGTTCTCAATATACAGGAAACCGACACAGACTGACCACACGATACCGAACAATTCCAACCACCCACAGCAACATAAACTAGCCTCTTTTCATTGTTATATCCACAGACTTTTAAACATCCCTCTATCCAAAGAGGACTACAACAACGAAGTTAAAATTCTTAAACAGATTGCTTACAATAACCAATTCGAACCTAAGTTATTTGATGTTCTCATCACTAAAACTAAAACAAAGAAGATCCAGAGAGAAGTTTACCAAGTTCTTCTCCCAACAGTCAGTAAATATGTGGCATTACCATTTCTTGATTCTGAAACTAATTCCAAAATTTCACTTGTCCTTCGCCAAAATGTCGAGCACTTAAAAATCTCATATAAAACAAAGAACAGTCTTTCATCACTTTTAGTTAATTCTAAAGACAAAATTGACCAACTTTCCAAGAGTGGCATTTATAAATTGAGTTGTAACTCCTGCTCCAGCACCTACATTGGTAGAACTTGTAGACCTTTGGGCACTAGGATCAACGAACATTTAAAAAGAACAACCTCAGCTTTCGGTGAACACCTCAAAGCATCAAAGCATGAGTTTAGCCCCAAGTCTAATTCGAAGATTATTCATAATATAAACTCAAAAAATTTCAATCGTTTGACTTTATGGAGGACATCGAGATACAAAAAGAGTTGGCAGACAACAACCGTTGCCTTAATACACAAGTAAATTTAAACAGAAATTACATCCCTCTCCACAGACGACTTTTAAACTAAACGTCACTTTATGATGATATTATAGGACACTCCACTGAGGAGTCCAGCTCCTTGGCATCAAAGACAAAGTGTTTGAATTCTCCTGGTTTGGTTCTGGGATATTTTTAAATTGCCCGCGTTTTGTATATTTGGACAGACTGTCAATTTTCACACCTGTTGTATACCAAAGTACTCTAACCTAACATCTAGACACGTTTGCTTTTGAGTTGAATTTATTAATTTCCAAAAAGAAAATTGAAAGGATGGATTCCTCCTTGAGAAAATTTTAAAAATAGTTCATCCCCCGAATATTTTAGTTCGGTTCTTTGATAAATTTTAAATTGTTCAGTCAATCCATGTTATTGATTAGTTTGTGACCTTATGTAACCATGTGCACCGTTGTTTTTAAACCAAGTTCTTTTATATTCACCTGACGAACTGAGTAAAACCCAAGTTTTATAATTTCAAGGGCTACATTCCCCCTTTTTTCATTTGCTGATGTTGGATTTTCCTTGCTTTTCAGGTGGCACTGACGACTGACGATGGCCTAAGGCCGAAAGCGCTCTGCACTGATTTTTCTTAATAAAATTTGCACGATATACAAAACCTTCCTTTGCTTGGTTATATTAGTCTTAGTCTTAATATCTAAAAACTGTAACTTACATATTTAATAATAATGAGAGTTGTCAAAATAATATAATAATATTAATATAATATATAAATTATTAAATTAGTTTTGCATCCCCTATTCCTAACCCTCATGTCTTGGTTGCCCTGTAGTTCAAAGTTTTTAGATATAAAAAATTGCTAACCTATAGATAGGATTGTTCTTTGATTGTGTTTTTACAGTTTTCTACGATTTTTACAGTTTTCTTACGATTGGTTTTTTGCTCACATATATGGAGTGCAGCACCCAAACATACCTTAATGCTTTTGAATACCGTGCAAAAACGAGCTATCAAGCTGATCAATGACCCCGCACTTACTCGTAACTTGGATGGTCTCGAACATCGCAGATCTGTGGGCGATTTATCTCTCTTCTACAGGTACTATCACGGAAAATGCTCTGAAGAGTTGGCACGTATGATTCCACCGAGAATAGCGCCTACCAGGCGAACCCGTCAAACAGACGGTAACCATGAATTTACTGTCAGAATTCATATCTCTGGAGAACAACATCGCTGTGGAATAAACTCCCTGCGACGGTTTTCCCTTCAGGTTACGACCTGAACCGTTTCAAGACCAACATACACCGACATTTCCGCGCACTTGCCGCTTCTCGAGCGTGATAGGACATCTCCTTGCGAGTGCGCATATCCGTAAAAAAAAAAAAAAAAAAAAAAAAAAAAAAAAATTACTAAAAATAACTTTCTTCACATTTTGTCGCCCTCTAGGTATCAATGAGTTGATTTGTAAACAATGTCTTTATACGGTACAGTACCCTAGATTGTAACAGGTTGGGTCGATAAAGGAGAAACGGTACAAGATAAACATAGTTGTCATATTGGGTTAAAAAAAATTCAAATAATTAATAAAGGTCGCCACACATACGTAGTGCTTTCACTCCAAAAAAGAGCACGTGACCTGAACCAACAAATATAATAATATAAATGAATAATATTTAAAAAAAAGTCCTATCAGTACTGTCAATGTTTTATCATCGTCCAAAAAATGTGAATTTGTCCTTTTACACCTTTTACACCTTTTTAAAATTAATTATTTCTAGTAACGTTTTTTTAAAAATATAGGTATATGTCATTGTTTTTCGTCTATATACACTATTATTTACACAACAAGAAATCCCAAGAAGCCAAAAAACCAAAAAACAAAAAGAAAGAAGAAAACATGTTCTGAAGAGACACCATTTTGACAAATAAAGGTATTTTTCACATAATGGAATTTTTTCTGTATTAATAAAAAACTTCCAACCCTTTGTAAAATTATCGAATTTCTACTGCTAATAAATTTCAATAATTTTCCTGGAATTTTTTCAGACTAAAAATATCAACCGACCTTCCTGTTTTTGGACATGAGTATAACACTCAAAAGGGTAACATCCCTTATTGACAATTTTGCCTAATGCCCAGGAATTGTTTCTCCGAATCGACCTGATTTTGACAACTCTCATTATTATTAAATATGTAAGTTACAGTATTTAGATATTAAGACTAATATAACCAAGTTTAGAGGTTGATTGATTCAACGAAAATAATACAACTGGTGCTCATTGTGGTATTTTTTCAATTTTAGTCTTTTTATAAATGAAGATGAAGCGTTGAAGCTTCGAAACCGGTAGTACATAAATAAAGAATTTTTGGGATTTTCAAGACTGTTTTTCTTCAAACCTATGATTAAATATTATTTTGTTTTGAGAGTTTACTTTATACAAGTATTATTTTTTTTCTTTAATGTTAGTTTTTTTGTTTGTTTAGGTATAACTTTTTTTATAACATGCGCATTGTTCATGTATTTAACAAAAATCGTTTCCTGCTGTAAACAACACAGATAAAGAGTAAGAAATTATGTGCTGTGCTGTCTTTTGTGCTAGGATTTTGATTTTTGGATTTAGAGCGTGCATTAGGGCGTTGTTGAATTTACTAACATTTTCCCACCCTGACGAGAGAACATCCTAGCAAATTGAAATAATCAATCTAAAGATATTGGCTCAAAAACAACTATAATAATAATAGCTAAGTAGTTTCCCGTATGGTACCTGCTGGGAAACTGGCTAACTAACCAAAAAAATCTTCAATAGGTATTGAATATAGGTAGTGTTGATTGAATGTAGTGTGAGTATGTGTAATTGAAATTTTAGCACAAGAACAGGGGCGGTACCTAATTCAAACTTTTATTGAATTATTGATTCACAATTATTATTAAAATGACACAGTATGTTTCGATTTTTGAGGAATGTTAGATCGAGGGTTTCTCTTCCGTGCTCTTTTCCCTCGTTAGTTCCAGGTCGAGAACGGTACGGTTTACTTTAATAATAAACTAGACATTCCACAAATTTTTTGTTCCTTTTACATATCACAACTTCCCTTAAATTTTCTAAATATTTGCTATGTCGGGCGCATGTCCAGTAAGTAAAATTGAGTAAGTTTCCACAATGTAGGTCCTATTTATTTGTTTTTCATTTCATTTTTCAGAAGATTTGCTGTTTAGAGGGTATTGAAAATTCACATCGTTCAATCTTGCTGAACGAACCCGGGTATGTTATACTACATTATCTTTTTTCTTTTCATGTTTGTGGTCGCTGTTAGTTGAGGTTTTTTTATGCACCTTAATTTTGTTTAGAATTACTAACCCTACTGAGAAAAAAGTACCGAAAATCGTCACTGCCTCCTAGACTATTTGTAGTGTTTTATCAAAACTTGTGCTCCTCAACAAAGTGAAAAAAATAGGTATTTTTAGGTAGGATGCCAATATACAAACTACAATCAAAATAATTTAACTAATGATTCCACTTCATTGCCTATAAAACTTTGGCAACCCTTCAATTTTTTAAACGGGAATCTTTAGTATAGGGTCTATGTGGGTTAATGAAGGACTCGAAATCAATCGCCAGAAAACGTGAAATAATTTATTTAACTATAGCTTAAATTCCTGTACCATGCATGTTTATCGGGCCTTTTTGTTGATAAAAAAAAATACTTACACCTTACATGCAGGTATTATTATTGTGTAGAGGCTTGTGGGCAAGAGTGACGTGATGGTAATTTATAAATTACAGTGTAAAGTGCTTATAGTGTATTTATAGGTGCAGTGCAAGATCGTTCACCTTGATCGCGACGCCTTCGTCTTCCTCTTCTTCTCGCATTATCGAGAGTTTCTTTTCTAGTTTTTGTTTTAGTTCTTCATCTTTTTTTTGTAAAACTTTTTTCTTTTTGAAGCGACTATAAAAAATACTTTCAGAAAATGCATTGGTTAGGATAATTGCCATAATTTACCTGGGTGTTTTATTAGGACTCTTCTTCTTCTTTTTTGAAGGTGTATTTTTGGAGTTATTCTCATTCACTTGCTTCCAAATTCCAGTTTTATTGACCTCTTCAGAAATATTTATTGCCGACAATGGTATGTTCATTACTTTGCCATTTGCCAGAGGGATTTTTAAATTTTTGTCTTGTTTTCCTAATTGTGGAATTTGCGGTGGATTCTCTACCTATTAAGTATAAAAAAACGATGAGTCGATGGGTACTTATTTAAGAATTAAACAATAATTAAAAGATACTTAACTTAATGAACAGACTAGCCAAATGAAAGATGAGCATGAAAAAAACTCACTGCACCAAAAACACCCTTGCGCATCAACATAAGTATGAAAAAATAAATCATGCTAAAAATATTGAAAAATAAAACAAACTACATATAATGAAATCTATTTTTTTATTAATTTTTTTTTAACGTAAATATAACAATACTGTGTTTGATGCACCAAAAAATAGAGAAATGTTTGACAAATGTGCGATGTTCTCTACTTTTTGGCTGCATCCATTTTGTCAACAATAAAGCAAAAAAACTAAATAATGTGATGATGATGAACCAATCTCGAAATCCCGCTGGAGTATTTTGCAACGAGTTAGTCTCTTTTAAGACATAATCAATGTATAAGCAGGTAGGGATTTTAAAATTGGTTTTTATTAATTTCAAAGCCTAAATTATTTAATAACAACTATAAGATTTTAAGGAATATTTCAGGGACTGTTCGCGTAGGTATCACAATATTATGTATTCAACATACGGGGTGTCCAACCATATTGATAAGAGCAATATTATGTGTAGGTAAATATGGCTGATCGTAGTATTAAACTGGTCACCCTGTATTATACTAATTGACTAAAATTGAGTATATTTTGACTAATAATAATAATTAATATTTTAGGAATATGTAGGTATAGGTATACCTAAATTTGTTTTAAATAGGTACCTAATTAAATATTGCGTAGGTATATTCACATAAAATAATTGAATGATAAGGTACAGCAATTTATATTTTGTTCATAATTTAAATTAATTGCACATAATTGTAAATTCGTAGGATATTGGCACTTTGCGAGTATACGCGGCTTAAAAAAATAATTTAAATAATTTTGTGATCAAACAATAATTCCCAAAGAAAACCTTCTAATATAGAAGCAACAAAAATATAGACAATAATAAATAAAATGGCCTTATTAAATAGGTGAAGTTTAAAACTAGCAGGCGAAACTAAATAAGTACCTACCTACTTAAGGGTTAAAGCTGAATAAACACAATTGTATAAGAAAATAAATTAATAATACAGGCATAACAAAAACAGTACATGCTTAGGAATGAAATACTGATAACGACTTTTTTCAATTTAGCTTTTTAACATCCTTATAGTATGGCTCAAAAATAGAACCATACAATCACATAAAACATGCCATCACAGACCTAAAACAACCACTAAAAAAAGACAACAGAAAGTGACTTGTTTTAGGCAATTGTTTTCTTTTCATCAACAGCACAAGGCTGATACAAATCTTTTCCGTTCAAAATCAATTTGGGACCCAAAAAGAATTTTCCCACTTTATTGCAGATGCCCACCTCTTGGTCTTTGAGCAGCTGACTTCTTCTTGTCATTTCCGGCATTAAATCGTCCAAAATTTTCAGTTCTCGTCGTGTGAATATCAAATCCAAAGATTTACGAATACCAATCATCACAACCAACATGAGAGGAAATAATATGGAGGTGCTGCTGAAGGATTTTATTGACCAAAGGCAAGTTAGACAAGTAAGTTGGATTAGAGTGAAGATATGGACTTTTTTGATTGGAACCTGAAAATTTATTTCAAAAACAAGTTATAGTTATATGCTAAATCATAATAGAAGCAAGGAGTAGTAGAATTCATGAGCTTTTTGATGGTTTATTCAAACCTTACCTACCAACATTTCGATCTGCACAATAAAAATTAAGGGATTTCTCATCTGTGATACTCTGGGTTAATGAAACGAATGGTCATTTTAATTTAATATCAGACCAATATCCAAGACCAACATCAACCAAGTTTAGACGTCACTATTGGTACGCTTCAAATATATATTTTCAAAAAATGTGTGACCAAAGCAAAGTTAGTAGTTTATTTGTGTTGGTGACGGTCATAAAGCATCATCAAATATTAGGCTCAGGGGCCTTATTCTGTAAGGAACGAACCGTTCGATTCGGTAGAATTTCTTTGATTGTGACGTCATTTTCGGTTTGGTTTTCGCGCGACGAAACCGAAAATGACGTCGCAATCGAAGAAATTTCAACGAATCGAACGGTTGTACCTTACAGAATAAGGCCCCAGAGGGGGGCTTTATTTAAAATTGATGCAACTTTGCGTACATGCAAATGACGTCATTTGCGATCGAAAATGGGTACACGGCTTATTTGAAACACGCACACGCAAGTTATATCGTCAATTTATTTTAATCTTGATAGTTCACTCAAATTGACCATTTCAGTACAGATTACTACGAGAATTTGCTCTGGAGGGCAAACATTAATTGGTTCCCACCCGTTTTTAACCTAGAAAGCTTTAAATTTGACAACAAAATGATTGGTTGCCCTCCAGAGTGACGTCATACTGAAATGGTCAATAGGTTTGAATATTCCCGGTATTCTTTCGATCTGAGCAAACTGATTGTAATCAGTGTAATCATGTTCATGACTCATGAGGCGTCAAGAAATCAGTTAGGGCCGATGAAATCGTTTTAATTCCGGATGACAATTGTTTGAAATAAACCTCAAGTGAGTTCGATCAGTTTGTTCAGATCGAAAGAATACCTACCTGTATTGTGGTGATTTTTATAAATAGGAATTTTAATATAGTTTTTAAGGTAATAGGAGTGGTAAGTGTCACTTACTGCCCTGTCGTGGTCGGTATTCGAGGGTGGTTAACGACACGCTCAAAATACTTACTACGTTTTATGCACATCGGACTCTTCCAGTTCAAGAATAAAATAACTATACCTATATGTGAACAGTATTTACCGACGCTAACCCTCAAGTGGAAGAATGCTGCAAGTCTACCCAGCAGTGGCGGCTGGCCCTAAGGGGCCAAGGGGCCGTGGCACTGGCGCAAAATATTTCGGTCCTTTTAATAGTTATTTATGGTACTAGTGTGTTATGTTGAAAATAAGTTACGCGAGAAAGATTTATACCACGAGGCTGTCAGGCCGAGTGGTATAAATTCTCAAGTGACTTAGGAAACATAACACACGAGTGGCATATAATGTTTTATCCCAACAAGTAGAAGAAATCGTGTTTTTTATGAGATAATACAAAAAAAAATACAAGGTTCTATTAGTCTGCGTCTTCCAGCACTATCAGCAGCTGTACCGATATGGGAGCGTCTGGTTCCAATGAACCAACGAATTTTACAATAACTTCAAATTCGAATAAACCGTTAACGTTTTCCTTTAATTGTAATTGTAATAGAAATAAATAAATATAATACTACTTTAAATATGAACGTGAGTTATAATCCATAACTCACTAGTGTTATGGATTATAACACACTAGTGTGTTATTTGATAGTTTACTTGTCTAAAATGACATTAATAATAATTGTCATAACTGTCATGTGTTGGATAAAAGATTTTTTTTTAGTTCAATGGTTATTACAATCGTCAGATCAAATTACTTATCATTTTATAATTTGATCCTGACGGAAAAATTTCTGTCGTTATTATTCCTAAATTTCCTAGAAATAATTTAAGCGACTGACTAAACTAAACTCGCTGGACTATCCGTCCGAGCCAATCTCACAACGGCCCCGCTGCAACACGGCAATTACATTGGAGAAGGTCACGTCGCGCTCCCAGTAACCAGCTGTTTTTATACGTATAAACGGGGCCACCTGATCGAACGGCCCGGATTAGTTTTTACGGCAATTTAATTAACACACAACACATAACAAGAACCTGGAACAAGCCAAGTGAGCTGGAACAAGTCTGGAAAATGTCTGGATAAAGCTGAATGAAGTCTGGAAAAGTCTGGAAATCTCTGGAAAAGTCTGAAAAGAGCCTGGAAATTCCTGGAAAGGGTCGGAAAAATTCTACCAAAGGTCCCAAAAGACCTGAAGATCATTTCCCAGAATCCGGATCAGTGTGGCAAAGTCTGGATAAGGTCTGGATAAATCTGGATAAAGTCTGTAAAACTCTGGAAAAGTCTGGATATTGTCTGGAAATCTCTGGAAACGTCTGGAAAAGACTTGGAAATTTCTGGAAAGGGTTGGAAAAATTCTGAAAAAGGTCCCAAAAGACTTGGGGATCATTTATCAGAATCCGGATCAGTCTGAACAGGTCTGGATAAAGTCTGGATTAATCTGGATGAAGTCTGAAAAACTCTGGAAAGCTTTGGATAAGTCTGGACAATGTCTGAAAATCTCTGGAAAAGGCCTGGAAATTTCTTGAAAGGGTCGGAAAAATTCTGGGGATCATTTTCCAGAATCCGGATCAGTCTGTACAAGTCTGGATAAGCTCTGGATAAATCTGGATAAAGTCTGTAAAACTCTGGAAAAGTCTGGATATCGTCTGGAAAAGTCTGGAACTCTCTTGAAACGTCTGGAAAAGACTTGGAAATTTTTGCAACGGGTTGGAAAAATTCTGAAACAGGCTCTAAAAGACCTCGGGATCATTTTCCAGAATTCGGATCAGTCTGAACAAGTCTGGATAAAGTCTGGATTAATCTGGATGAAGTCTGGAAAACTCTGGAAAGCTCTGGATAAGTCTGTATAATGTCTGGAAATCTCTGGAAACGTCTGGGAAAGGCCTGGAAATTTCTTGTAAGGGTCGGAAAAATTCTGGAAAAGGCCCCATAAGACCTGGGGATCATTTTCCAGAATCCGGATCAATCTGTACAAGTCTGGATAAATCTGGAAAAGTCTGGAAAGCTCTGAATGAGTCTGGATAATGTCTGGAAAAGTCTGGAAATCTCTGGCGCTGACACGCTTTTATAATACATCGAACTAAAAAGTGAAAAATATAGTTTAAAAAAACTAAAAACACGCTTTTATAGGTAGTAAATTGTGCTAAAAAGTGAAAAATAATTTTTAATATAAACAGAAAATATTAACGAACAAAAAATATTTGAATTATTGTCAATAAAGCGTGGGGTGTTCAATGTATGAGAAATGTGGAACAAAGCACCCCACGCTTTTTAGTTCAATTTACTATAAAAGCGTGTTTTTTAGTTTTTTTAAACTATATTTATTTATTTTTTTTGCGTTCTTTTTCAAGTCTTTTGGAGGGGGGGACGCCACTGTGTATGTTAGTATGCGTGTAATGCATGCAGTTCGATGAAGGTTTCACTTCTACTGGGTGCGAACTGCACACTTTTTTTTAATAAGTTTGATGCCTATTTGATTTGTATCGTGCCCTATAAGTGCTTCATAAGTAAAACGTTGAACACCAAAGGAATTTAATTTTTTTTACTGTCTCGTTTGATTTGACTATCGATAGACAGTCAACGTTGATTCCAGGAATATCTTATTCGTTAGATTTTTTAGCGGCGTCTCTGGCGCCATAGGGCGGCATATTTCTTTGAAGCGCCTGCCGCAAAGAAATCAGTTCCGTCTGGAAAGACAGTGCAGTAGATATTTTTTATAAATTTGATTCCTATTTGATTTGTATAGTGCCTTATGTCTCATTTTATATAAAACTGTTTTATTAAATTTCTCGTACTCCGCCCGTGCTTCATTTATTATTTTGTAGAAATGGTAAATGCCCACGTTTGAATTGAGAATAAGTGAAAAAACTTTCTGAGGCGTGTTTTTTTTACAACTTTTAGATCAAAATTTGGGTTAGTTTGGGTCAGTCCAAAAAAATTTGCGCGCCTCTGGGGCTTCCCCCCTGAGTGTGTGCACCGCCAACTTTTCCTCTCACCAGCCGCCACTGCTACCCATCAAACACACTACATACTTAAAACGTCCATTTTATGTCATATTTACGTCCGTACGTCCATATGACCTATTCAGAACGTACATAAGACGTACACTTTTGTACCTTTTATGTAGGTACATAGTTAAACATCCATATTACGTACAGTTACGTCCACCATTTTGGTTTTATGTTTAAAGTGTAAAATACAAACATATCTGTAGGAATTTAAATTTGAATAAAGTCTGTTTTTTTTTTTTAAGATAAAATAAAAGTCAAAATGACATTATGTTGGCATTACAATGTAAAATTGTCAATGCTTTCAAATTTTTTATGTAGAAAAAGGCTTGTGTTGCCAACATAGTTACTAAATTTTTGATTTGGGGAATTATATTTAAAAAAAAAAACAGACTTTCTTTGAATTTCGCTCTCATTTATGGGTGCAAAAGTTATGTGAAAATTATTTCTCTTCGAACATTAAATAATACATTCATTCTTGCTCGATATTGAACTGTTTATTGATACGAATTCTACACGCCCCGTGGATAATAATCGGAATCCACGGCCTATCGACCAATCAAATTCGCAGTATTTTCGGAATGCACGGGCTGCAACGAGACAATTAGGCAATTCAAACCACGTGACATTCAAGATGGCGTGGCGGCCACACATGGGCCAAAAAACAGAAAAAAATATCTAGAATCTGCTCGATTTATTAGTTTAGGTACCTAGTCAACAAATATTTTATTAAATAGTCCAAATCAAAGTTGCAAGCAAAACTCTAAGCAAAATAATTTGAAATACGCATAAAAACACATTCAAAACAAACTTGCTTGGCCGCCACGCCATATTGAATTTCCCTATCTGACAGATGAATTGAATTGCCTAATACAAACAAAACATGACTGACGTCT